TGCTTTTCAGTTGAATCTACTAGGAATGCTTTTCATGGTGTTAGAATGGCACCATTGAACTTCATGTGAATGATCTTTGAGTGGAAAGCACTGATGCCCTGCTTTGTGCATGGGCCACCTGTACGGGGTTAAGGGGTTAAGATCCAGGTCAAACTTTTGGGGTGAACTTGTTGTTTGAGAGGGGCTCTTTTTTGGAGTACTAATGAAAAGCTGTCAGTTTTTTAGAGCTACGTTTGCCTGACAACAAAGAATATGCTCTTTAGGGCTATGGTCGCCTAAAGACATGTTCTGCCGATCGGTTAGTTGACTAAAAAGGGGTGTATAAGGCAAAAGCTCTTAAAGCTTTTTTGTATCTGTATGTATTTAACCCAAACTGCCCTTTTGTAAGACACCTGAGCTTGCAAAAACAACAATTTATGCAGAAAAGTACTTGGAAAAAATGTGTTTATAAAGACCGATTAAAGGTGCTTTGTGTAACTTTTCTGGTGGAGGGTCCGCTACCTGCTTACACATCTCCTTGAAGATGTTATTGCTTTGCGCGGAATGTTCCACAGTCACCTTTTAACATATAAATACCAAAAAATACCAGCTCGCTCACTTCTCCTTTCTGCTGTTGTCCCATATAAGGCTTTATAATTGTAATAAAATGACAACTAACTAACTAATCAACCGATTAATCGACTAAACAGCTAAACTCTTACTTCCTATCCTATCTTTAATACATTTATTTTTATTTTTTTTTACCATTTCTCTTTTGTCTGCTGCACATGACTTGGAGAGCAAATGATAAAATTGACCATAATGTATAATGTGTTTTTGCCAGTGTATGCACTCCACTAAAAAGCATGCGTCTGTTTACAAAGGAAGCATTGAATTAGAGAAGGGAAAATGTCAACCTTTATCATCCTACTGCACAGCCCACTTTTTGCATTAGTCAGAAAACATCCCCTCAAGTACTGTAACATCGTCTGAATGTGATTGAGATTGGGTTGCAGACTGAGGAGGAGGGCGGGGGGTGTGCTGTGGTCGTGATTTGAAAGGCGCACTCTAAAGTACTCATGTGTAAAGAAGGGTCCTGAGGCAGGTCTCTAACGCTGTGTGAGAGGAGCAGCCATATCTCACATCACTGGGTCTCATCTTTGCATGGGGCTGCCTACACTATGGGTAATTAATAGCCACAAGGTCTGTCACACCATCAAACCAGGGACCAGGTGCTGCTCAGATCAACTTCAGTGAAAATATGAAAAGGCAGTGTGAATGTATAGAATGTACTTGCTTTTGAATACCTGCTTAATAATTATACTTCTCCTTAGGACTGCAGTATTAATCAAATCAAAATTGCAATTTGAATGGATGAAACTAGCAAATCACTAAAATCGCAGTTTATAAAGACTGTCACAATAGCCAATTTTGAAGTACGATGCATTGCTACAGAGACACATTGCTATAAACGATAATATTTAAAATACTTTGACAGTTTTTAATATACTTTTATAATATATACTTTATCATTATATCACACTAGCTGCAACAAATAAAAAGCAGAACTAATAATTAGCGATCAAAGTTATTTATTCTACCCTCTGCAGCTCAAATCTTATCAGATGGCAAAAACTCCCATCATGCAAAGAAATGGTACAAACAATAAATACTGAAAATATATTGTTTCAGCAATCATATACTGAAAGATAAGTTCATATAGTAATTATTGTGACAGGCCTAAGTATGATAATTTCCTCCACAAACCACAAAGTATACTGTCGTATTCTGCATAAATGCTGCTAACCCTGTAGTTTAGATCTGCACAAACAAGTTCTGAAATGCGATTCTTAGTATTAGTTTGTCAGTTCATATTTCAGTCTTTTTGTCAATTGTCTCGGACGCGTTTAAAATGTAAACTTAGATATATTCCCAAAACCATTCAGCGCTATTTCTCCTTCAACTTCAAGCTTGTAGAGGCACTTGGTCTGCTGTGTCTGCACTGTCACACATCATTCAGTTGGCCTCATGTTTTTTTTTTTTTAGATTTTAAAGCTGCTAAATAATACATTTAGCATCCATTCAAAAATATTCTGGCCCAAAAGACTTAGAATGTGTTTTTACCAGTAACCCACAGTCTTGTCATGTTGTTCCACTGCTATTTTGTATACTTTTTTTCTGATTTTGAAATATAGTACATACAAAAACAGACAAGCCCCTCTCTCTATACTGAAAATACACACAAAACAATGCAAAAAACACGAGGTAATCAAACATCAACTGTCTTTTGAATACTTTTTAACTTGGTTTTGGATCTGTTTTTGATGGTTGCTACAGAAATGCTAGAATTTGTCAGTGGTCTGTGCAATAGACCTGAAAATACTCATAGTTCAAGAGTAAGTAAGTTATTTTCACTTCTACAATTGTGAAGAAACCAATAATTTGTTCATGCTTTTCTTGATCTTAACTATACAGTGCAAGCAATGTTTTTCAGCTTTGTTTTGACTTGCAACATTGTCATTGTGTAGTAAATTTAATGTTAAGATGCTCTAAAGAATCCTTTGCATATTAAACCATGGTCAAATAGCATTGATGTGAACTATGTTAAACAAAAGCTACACGGCTGAGTTTTCTTTCACAGATATTTTCACTTGAATATGTAAATATGCTGTTGTTCTCTAGTGTCAGGAGCCTTGGGGCTGTTTAAGTTTGATTAAATTAACTTGATCACATGTTTTGGTTTAATGTGAATATCTTGCACAGTTTGAAACATTGAGTCTTTGTTTTCTCTTAAACATATTCGATTTGGTTGGAAATGATCTGGCATTTATCTGTTTTTATAAGTACATTGTGGTCTACTGGCTGTATCACATTTACTTGCTGCACTCTTAGGTCCACTGGAGGAATTTGTAACATGAAAGAGATGACACTGGCTCCAGTACTTATAATGGGCCCATGTGGATCTATATGAGCTCTCAATTTGAATAATCTGGTTTGTGTTTGGACAAATGGTCCATTCTGGCAGGGGCTGGCACTATTTTGCGAGGCTTTTGTGAGATATTTATAACAGCCTTTTCATTAAATCAGTCCAAAGTCTGCATATGGCAGCGTGTGCGTAAATTTACAGGAGCTGAGTAGAGTTGTCGTTCACCATACTAAAAACTCAAACTTCATTTCAATACTACGGATACTTGATATTCAATACAGATTTCAATTCCACAATGAAACAAAGACAATAGTGTAATTATCAACATTAATGTGCATTGTACTAGTAGTGACAGAGATTTAGTCCTATTCAGAATCAATACTTGTTCAAATGAGTATCTAGTTTCAATACTAGTTCAAAGGTGCACTGCGTAACATTTCTACTGCCATGGAAATGTCATTGCTTTGTCTAGAATGTTCTACAGTATAGATTAGACCTATTGATCACAAGGGAGACTAGCAGGTTACAGTACTATGCTACTTTACAATTCAGATCTGTGGAGACTTGCTCCTATTCACAGAAGGAATTATTCTATTTTTGAGCAATAGAAACCCCCGTGATAAATAAATGCTAGAGGTATTTGTTTAATTTCATACCATGGACATTCCAGGCAAAGCAGTAACATCTCTATGAACACAGGAGGTGATGGATCCTCTTCCAGAAAAGTTGCACAGTGCACCTTTAACAATTGATTTATGAAGTATTTTGACAACAATAAAGCTGAGTCTCGGATTGAGAGGACTGTTAACTGTTACTGACTCAAACTTCCAGATGTGACGGACATGTTTGCAGCTGATGTGCGCACATAAATTTCCAACACGCCTGGACCCAAAACAAAGAGCTGCTAATGATTACTTTGGATTTTAATGGCGCATAAAGAGCGCTGCACGGCTCAGGGATCGCTGTAGGTAACAACCAGCTTCATTTAGTCTACTTTGTGTCAAGCCTCATTGTCCTCATGTCCTGTGCTGTTTAGCAGAGCTCGCAGCCCTGACAGATTGCCATCCCGATGGGGAGATTTACCCAGCCTGCACTGCCAATGGCACTGACACCATCATTAGTCTTTGATCAGCTGCGGTCTGCAAGGGGAGGGAGAGAGACTCATACTCTTGATCTAATTACTGGGAGACATTTCATGCGGTGTAATGTGTGATTTAACCTCTTGTCAGGGGCTATAAAAGGAAGCTGGGTTAATCTTCCAGACAACCTCTTTTTTCACGCTGGAGAGTACCTTTTAAATTTGCCTGTTTCTCCCATGGAGCTGGAGAAAAAGCAGAGTATGCTATTGCTAACACATTAGCGCTGACTCTGAACTGGAAAAGCTCTCAAGGCTAGAGTCGTGTGACCTTTGGATGTTAGCAACAGCTGGTTCAGGCGGATTCATGTGCTCTGTGCATTTGGAGGACTAGAAACTCTGTCCTTTTCACTCCTATGTGCTCTCTCCCACCAAAAGCATTGCAGTGCAGTGTCTTTGTTTCTTTCATTTGTTCTTTTTCTGTATCTCTCCATCATTACCCCCGTGCTGCTGTGTGATGAGAGCAGGAGACTTGATTGAAAAAGGATAATTGTAAGTGTAGTGAAGGGGGGTTTGGGTTAATCAGTCAAACATAGTTAAACAATTCTTTGGACATGAAGGGATTAGTCTTGCCTGCATTGAGCCCATTCTACCCCAGCCTTGGCCAAGCTTTGAGGGCAAGGGCCACGGCCTCTCTGGCTCCATGGAGAACCACACACGCACCCCTCAGCATGCTCCATTGGCTATGAATGCCCCACCACTCTCCTCCGCCTTTGTTACCGGGCACAATTGGAATGATGGATTAGCAAATTAAATGCAGACCTTTCTATTCATGGCCATGGCTGCTCAAACTCTCATTCAGTGGATCTATGGCTGGCGCAAATGGCTTCACTCACTGTACGTCTTTGAATTCCTGCACAAAAGGGTCCCTTAACCTTAAAAGCACTGCGCAGGCACTCAATAAAGCTCACTATATTTACCACATGACTTCCTGTACATTTTGTCTGCTTTTTATTACAGACTGCTGATCACTGTGATAGGAAGTGGCCTTGATATGATGATGTGTTGGCAAGCTGAGGGCTCCCAGCTGCAGCCGCTGTAAATGAACTGTAGCCCTGACCCTAATGCTTTGAGAGAAACTCCTCCGATGACTGATGGGTTCCTGAAAATATAGGTTTGTAAAGCGCTTTCACAAGTGAGCAGGCTAAAACTAAGGGAAAAAGTTGCTTTAGGTTGGATTGTTTATTTTGTATGGTTGAGAATATCAACTTTTTACATGTAGTTGGGGTGCTGTAAAAACAAAAAATAGCGCGGTCTCCTTTTATACTTTTACTTGGATCTCCAAATTACTAATCACAATCACGCAATGGTAAAGAATCATCCAAAAGTTGTATTATTGTATTATTATATTCCTAGAGTAATCTGGATGCTCAGAATTGACTATTTATTACATATTTATGTATATTTATTGCATATTATTAATATTATACAACCTAATTGGATAGAACTGCTACTTCAAAAGTTTCATGCTAACATGCAACCAATCCCACTGATTACAGCCAAAACATGAGCCCTTTGACCCCGGGAGGTCCCATGTTATGCTTAATAATATCTTTTGTTATTCCCTGAGGCTCTCTCTTTGTCAAGAAACATGTGTCATGTGGTCCCCTCTTTACCCAGCAAGCGTTTTATGTGTTCTTGCGGGTTAGCATTTTATAGTACAATTCTTAACAAGCTAGCTCTGATGAATGGTTTGTGGACTTTGGCTTTGGAAGAGGAATAGTAAATGGATTAAGCTAATGCAGGAGACTACGGTGGCCCCTAATAGTCCGAAAATATCCTGAACTATACATTGGCATAACAAAACGAGACTTTGTTGCTCATAGTATTATTATAAATCCATAGTGACTCCGCTAGATAAAATCACTGATGTAAGATTAAATATAAGCAGTAAATGACATTTATACTCCACAAATTGCATGAGAAGATGAAATGATTCAAATAAAAAGCATTGTGCCACTGTCATCAGTTTTAGTCTATGTGAAAAACGGGCTAATGAAAGCACTTCCATGTTATTTAGTGCTTGCTTCACTCCCAGTTGTATAAATTCATTCATTGTCATGTCACTCCTCTGTGTTTATTGGCCTTTTAGCAGCTGTCGCTATGGTCCGGGTTGTTCCACATGTCCCCATCGTCTGACCTGACCTTTTTCCAGGGCATTCTCACTGACGTAGTGTTATATTCCTCAGCTCTATCATAAAAGCCCCACCATGTAACTTTTTAGCCCAAATATAGATTGCTATTAAATCCTGCTTTTTCACTTTTCACAAGTTTTTATTGCACTGAAACATGTTCTTACTGTGAGCAGGCTCACAGCTCCATAAACCTGACTCATACTTGGCATGAAGGAGGGGCACTTCCTGTTTCTTTCCATGGAAATGTTGCTTGACAACAATATTTCACCTTTTGACATAAAACCTGTCTATATCCCTGGAGAATGTTCCGAAGTATGGTTTTAACTTTATATTTTCATAGAATCAGGCCACCTCCTGAAAGTTACGATGTTGCTTTAACCATCTTTCCTGCTCCTCCTTTACTCCTCTTGAGGCATTTGCTGAGCATCTGTTGACATTAAATCAAGTGTTTGGGCTGAAGCAGCAACATCCTGGCGTTACTGTGCTCTTCTTGAATCTAAATGTTTACTGCATACTAGTTTTTGCTCTGCTTTTTGTCAATTGCATTTAAATTGTGATAAGTTCAGGCCTGATTTCTTTGAGTTTTTTGATCCCAGGGTCCTGCTGTACAGATAACTCCCTCCTCTCTTCTGTCTGCCTCCCTTTCACCCCATAGCCTCTCCTCCAGCCCGGCATGGGGGGGCCTTCTGCGTGGGGGTGCTCTGTGGAGACCCCAATTAGCGGGACTATCAGGCAGCATGAAGGTCACTCCCAGAGCCTGATGTGGGAGCAGAGGAGGGTGGGGTCAGAGGGTCTACACTAAACACACTCTGTGCTGCATTCAAGGAACTTTTGAAAACAAGGACACACGCAGTTCTTTTTAGAGCCTTGAATTTCAAATTGGATGTTTAACTCAAGTTTATGCATTCTACCTTTTTGCTGAATTTATTACCTCAACTGTAGCGCAGTTATAATCTATATCATTTTTAAAAAGTTCATAACAAACTTTTACCTGGCCTCGAAGTATATAGAATTATATTTTGAACCATTTGTGAGGTTGTAAAAGTTGTACAATTGCTCTATTTGTGGAAGCAGTTTTTCCATACAATATGAGAAACCTTGTGTGAAGTAGCAGAAATTCATAGGTTACAAGGTATGGCAATCATCCTCTGTGGTCATAGCAATCAAGCAATTCAAATCAAAATATATCTGTTCAATGGTGAATGGTCCTCAGTGGGTCCTCACAAAGTCCTTCAAATCAGCAAGGCAGTGTTTGTCTGAATAGGTAAAATAATAGTAGAAGTTGCTGTACTTTCTGTCTGTACAAACTTTGAATATGTTCCCAATGTCACAGTCAAATGCTGCTACTTTTCATTAATAAGGGCCTCCCATATTTTCTGAAGTCTGAATGCTGAATGGATCTGTTTTTCATGTGATGTGTTGCATGTTGACATATCAAGTTACCAACATTAGCATTAACTCAAGTGACTTCAAGATGGCTACATTTGAATCCTTACACAAACTATGCCAAATATGTATGTAGTCCACACCATTGTCTAAAAACAATTTGGTAAAGTTTGACATAACAAAATCACAATTTATTGCTCATTGTATTGGCAGAAAACATAAAACGTAACTATACAGTGTTTCCCACAGGTTTATACTATGGATTATCATTTTATTTAATACAATATTTTGGTGCATAAATGTCACATTGCCTCTACTGAAAAAAAAGCTGTGATTATAGATCAAAAATAGTACAATATGTAAAAGTATAATTTGTAATTTGTCTATTACCAACTGTGTTTTAGACTATGGCGGTAAAAAATTGACTATGGGGGCCACCATAGTCTCATTTCAGAACTGGGAAACACTGCAGTTCTGATATATAGGGAATATTCTCCAAAAATTATATGAAAGAACAAAAATAATAAAAAAAATGTATGAGAAATATAGATTTAGGTCTGCAAACACATCACCCCCCAACTTTCCCAACCTAATACTATTGTTCAGCTTTACCTGCACACTTACAATACTTTCCCCAGTAACAGCAGTTTGCATATTCTCCCACTTCTTCTTCTGCACTGGCGAAATCGCAGCTGAGGATTTCATGGAAAGGTCAAGCGTTCTCGGCGGACTGTCATCGTACACTGCGTCCATATCAGCGGGATCCATTCGTCATTAAGCTCCGAAGCCCCCCACTTCATCAGCGCGTTCTGGTGTCGTCCGTCCCACCCTGATTGATGGCTCTCTCCTTATTGCACGGGATGGGGGTCGATGGTAAAAAATTTGCTGGCGGGTGCATTAACTCGGCGTTCGGTGGCACAGACCTTTGAGCAGACCTCATCAGTCTTGAAATATTTGACACGTATTTGAGATGTGTATGAGGCAGGCATGATGCAAGCGAGACACAGCGAAGGGGAAGTTTTATCAGCCCATTATTCACCGTATCTGATAATGGGCAGGTTTATGCTAAATAATATTGAAGGAGAGGAGGTATACTCAAGGTTTAAGGCTGCTCAAGATGAATTGTGTGTTAGTGTGACTGCACAGTGTAACGCAATCAAAACGAAATCATAATTTGAGTTTTTGCACTTATCAAATTACAAAGGCTGCAATTATTTTAATAATGTCCTCTGCAAAGAACAATATATTCTTTCTTTTTAGAGAAGTTTTGTACCTGTAGTTTCTATAAACATTTCTCTTGTCTTCTGTCATACATCTGTACTAGTTTAAAACGTGCAGAATTCTTCTTTTTGAACATATATTGCAGATACAATCGTAAATTATTCTATTTTTGTCTGTTTCTTCTTTTTTCTGCTAAAATCATGCAGCCTTAAATTGGGGTAGTTGCAGTAATCTCTACAAAAGTAGCTGCAATAATATAGTATTTCAAGATCCTTTGGTTGTTGATATAATATTAAAGAAACTATGATTGCTTCATGTTGACAAATATTATTTAAATGTCCAAAAAATCCTGTTTTTATTGTCATTGTAATATCACAAAGTATTCAGGCTCAAGCCTTTTCTTTGATATTGAAACTGAGTTTGAACGTTTTTGTGTTGTGACAATATGAATCCAGTCCAACAATTATAGTTTAAGCGATTAAATATATGATAAATATGTTTTTTGGCAACAACTTTCTCTCCAATAATATCCAGTGCAACTTTATTTGTATAGCACATTTTACCAACACAAATCTCCAAAGTGCATAGAGTCCAATATAAATTAATACATTAATTAAAAATAGTATACAAATAAATAAACAAGTCAATATAAAACATAAATAATAAAACTAATAGAAAAAATGTAATCAATAAAAGACACTTAGAGGACCAACATACTCATACATTATGATAGTAGCTATTTAACTAATTAAAAGAAGTTTCCATAGTAACTTATCCAATGCCTCCAAAAATAATCTGTTCGAGTAGTAAAAGGACTTGTATCAATATATCCGCATTAGTAGAAGGGCACTTGGACAGCGCTGACATTCACAGGCCTATAGTCTCCTCTTCTCATTCTTGCACAGTACAAAAAGTAGAAATGATGACCTAATTTCCCCCTCTTTGTCATTTTCACTGTCACTGGTTCATTAAACTGATTGTTACCATGGCAGCAAAGGTCTTAGCTTTGGGCTCTTTGATTTGAGGAGGAGGAGCGCTGCATTTGTGCGCAGTCGGAAACATTAGAACTTTGTTATTGGTCGAAAGAACTATTAGAATTATTTTGCTGCCAGATATTATGCATTCTCTAGGGACATATTTTAATGGATCTTTGCTGTCTGTTTTAATATAGTTTATTATGTGGTAATGTCATCAAGCCGTTTTGTTTGTGGAGGTGGATTTTATTTGGATGCAAACCATGTTCTTTGCACCAAAAAAAGTAATGAGTATTCTATAGTTCACTGTAGTCTGGTCATGGTAACAAAATTTGAAATGCGATATATTGCTCAAGTAAATATAGATGATAAATGATAATAGTGAAACTAACGTATGC